TGCCATGTAGGTTACTCCACGAAAGTGTTCCTGAAAGTGAGCCTCCAACAGCGACGGCAAGGTAAGAGCATCACGAATTCATGATGTACTAAACAACATGCTTGCTGAGATTGTTATACAACATATCTAAAGTGCTCGTATGGTTTGCAGTAATTCTACTGAGCCACAGACTCCAAACGTTCGAGAAACATTGCCAATTCCATTTGACGCTCTCGACTCTGATTGTGATGCAGACGACGACGAGACGATGTTTGACGAAGTCCTTGAAGAAACTGATCGCGATGAAACCGGTAGTGCTTCGTCAGATGACGAAAGTGTTGTAGTTGCTGATGATGCAGGCGAGGAAGACGTGGAGCCTCAATCGGAATGACCCGTGCTACAGCGAGATGAGTTGATAGGCTTTGCCAAGGATGAATCTGCGTTGGCAAAAATGCGGAAGAGTGGCTGGCAACTTGGTAAGTGTTTTTGATGCTACTTGTTATTGTAAATGTACTAACAAATGTGTACTTTACCACTATAGATAACAAAAGATTTCCCGAAGACCAGAGATATCCTGGGCTGTACAACGGTGAGTATGGTTCATCTGAAGAGGTCAGGCGGCTTGCAGACTCTCCGCTGGACCTGTTCTTGTTTTTTTATGCCGCGGGAGTTGTGGGTAACGATCGCACGGGAGTCAACACCATACCACGAGCAGCATCTTGTTGATCGTGTTGACAAAATGTTTGAAAAGCAAACGTGCCGGGAAAGAAGACAAAGGAGCAGTTCATGGAGCAAGAGTCCAAGCATCCAGATATCAAGCCACACGAAATCGTGATTTTGCTGGGTCTGCTTATAGCCCGGATGGTTACTCCCCAGCGTCGCCACTTTTACGACCACTGGCGACTACGGCGGTTGGCGCTGTTTCACCTGGAACATTTGGGAAGTACTCGAAGAGAAATCGCTTCATGTATATTCTCTCAAACCTGCACTTTACCAACAATGCTGACGCGCGGGCCGGTACGGATAGATCCTGGAAAGTGCGATCCGTTGTGGATGCACTGCAGACCAGCTTCATTGCCGGCTACACAATACCGCCGGTTATTGCTTTTGATGAGGCAATGATCCAGCTATTCAACAAGCACAATCCCACTCGCCAGTACATCGCCAACAAGCCTCACAAGTGGGGCACAAAGTTATTTATGACCTGCTGTGCTACAACATCCTTCTGCCTTCGGTACGTGCGGTTGCGAGCTCCTAGTGAGCTCGTATTTATTTTTAGTCTAAGTAAACATGTTGTATGAGAGATGTTGTATCTTACAACTCAATGTTATGTTGTATGACTACAGACTGAAGGTTTATTGCGGAAAAGCTCAACATGCGCAGGAGCTGGGAAATGTACCGGAGTTAATGCGGTCAGCTGACCATAACACCGGCCCAGCAGCTGTAATGCGCAGTCTTGAGGCTGTTCTACCGCCTCGGATTGACGGCGTCTACTACTTGATCGTGACCGATCGATTCTACACGTCGGTTCAACTCTCGTACCAACTACTACAGCGGCAAGTTTACTCAGTGGGAACAATTCAAGACAATTGTCAAGGGTACTGCAATGCGATGGTGGAGAAGAATCGGAACCGTCCGAAGAGCATTGCCCATGGCACTACTCGTATGGCAGTCGCCAAGAACTGCCCTCTTATGACGAGCCTTGTATGGTAGGATAGGCGATCAGTACAATTGCTGGGAACCGGACGTAGCTGGGCAATGAAGAGTTGTTGTGAGTTCTACGCTTTGAAGATAGGTTTGTGGGAGAAACTGACGTAACTATTTTGTTTTGCCTGCTCAAAATCTAGACCGCTGGAAAAAAGGGAGGTGCTCGCGCTGAAGTACCCTGCCCATCTATGATGCGCGATTACTATCGCTGGATGGGCGGGGTAGACGTACCTGATCAGCTCCGGCTGCAAAGATATTCATTGCAGCGGCAGACCATGTGCAAGAAGTATTACAAATCCATATTTCTCGGTCTTGTGGACATCGCGGTAGTGAATGCATACATCATCTACCGTGAGTGCCAGAAGAAGCGTGGCGCTAGACAAGACTCACATGCAGAATTCCTGATGCAGCTCCAAGCTCAGATGCTCGAACTAACGGAAGATGATTTTGACCAGTTGAGTCTACAACATGATGACAGGCAACATGTATACAACATGTTAACATACAACATGTGTTTTTCAGCGTCAAGCACAAGTGGATGGAGTGGATGTTGTAGCCCGAGCACTGCCAGCAGAGCATGTCCCTCGCGGAAATCCTGATTTCCAAATTATCAACGGACAGTGCAAGCGCCGACAGCGGCAATGTAAGGTATGTTCCAACCGCAAGCGCAGCGTGGGCGAGCGTCGAGCAACAAAGTACTATTGCCCCTGTTGCAGTCCGTCGGAGAAAGCAAGGTACGTTCATCAAGATGAAGCATGGGATATGAGGTTGTAATTCTAACACAATATGTAGAGCTTACTTGTACAACAAGGTCTGGCCCCATGTCAAGAACAGCACACTTACTTGCCACCAGATTTGGCATCTCCAGTGGAGCAATGGCAACGATCGGCCTCGTCCCCGCTGCGGCCGCGATATTCAGAATCGCGAGGCGGGCATTGGAGCAGGAAAGCAGAAGCGACGTCGTCGAGCGCAGGGTGGCGAAGACGAACATGATGTGGCAGAGGGTTCTGCGGATGACACGGCTGAAGACGACGCTGAGGAGAGTGCCAGGGAGGATGCAGAGCGTATTGCAGACGACACTATCGAAGACGCCGTGGCGGACGCCGTGGGCGAGGCTGCGGAAGATGCGACCGATGACGCAGTGGAGAAAGCCGTGGAAGACGTCGTGGATGCTGTGGCCAATGCAGTGGAAGAAGATCAACCAGGCGTAGCAGTGTAGGGGAGGAGGCTTCCAATAAGTGGAATGAAATGCAAGGCTATTTTTTATGCCTTTGCGTTCGTACATGTAGCCAGTACAGTTCTGTCCGTTTCTCCATCCTACTTCAGTATATTTGCTGGCGTTTCTTTTAATTGCTCAAGTTGATTCATTCAAAGAAGAGGGGACGTATTTTCTCTTGATAAAACGTACATCTTCATCGCAGTAGTGATGTTCATTTTATGCCGAACAGGTTGTATGATACAGCATCAAGCCATCGGCGTCGTTGTATATGATTGCATCATAGAGGTATTGGGAAAATGGCATGTCGCGTTTTTCAGAAAAAGTAGTCGTACTTATATGGGACTATACAAATATTAAGTACTGCCTGGCGTTAACACGCTGTATTTGACAACATGAACCGTTTTCTGCTAGGTGCGATTTTTGATTTGGTTGCTGGGGGTTTAAGAGTCCACGGTATAGCTTACAAGCTCTGTGGTAGAACGTGTAGCCGCGTGCGAGGAGAAACTGAATCAAATTTGAGATTTAAAGCTGAAGTTTGTTTGGCTGCTTTTGTTAGCCAATCAGTGCTCGTGAATTTAAGGCTGTTTCGTGCGTTGGGTCAATTTTGTAAAATGATTACTGTATAACAGCGATTTATTTGCAAAAGAATACAGTCACACCTCCTTCTTTGAACCTCTATAACTGACCACTAGCTCTTAACTTGAATGTACTATTAATATATGAGGTTCATTATGCCAGCCCCTCTAATTGACTAAAACCCTCTCTATTCGCTAAATGACAGTCAATTCCGGAGGTAAAACTCTCTATCAGCCATAGAATCCTTCTCACTTTTAAACTCCAGCTGAATCCCGTCAATATTCCTTTGAATCCCCGCTCGCACCATGGCACCGCCACACTCAGCAGACATTGGCAACTATGAGCAGAAAAGGAAAGAAACGCGATAAAGCTCGTATCACAATGGTATTCTGTTGTGAAGCAAAGGGTACGCACAAGTTAGACCCAGTCGTGATTGGCACAGTAGAAACCCCACGTTGTTTTATTGGCGGGAGTGCTCGTGCGCTAAAAGGCAAGGCTGTTCATTTTTACAATAGCACAAAGCATGGATTTCCAGCCCGAATATTCTCCGAGTGGGTACAAAGTTTCAACTTAAAGACGGCTGTTCAAAATCGCAAGGTCCTGCTGTTGATTGACAATGCCTCGAGTCACAAGATTACCCGGTCATATTCAAACATCGAGGTACGCTTTCTTCCTCCTAATCTAACGTCGTCTGTCCAGCCTTTGGATCAGGGTGAGTTATATGAATCTGTGTAGTTACAGTACAACCAAGAAGATGACCCACCTGTACCTGCATCGACAGCCCTTGCTTATTGCGTGGAGCTATCAACATTTCTGTTTCAGTGCGAGGGGGACACTAAAGACCAGCAGAGCATGCTGCAATCTTTGACAAAGCTAGTGCGAACGCAAGTGGTGAAGCGTAGGCGACAGCGGACACTCGATAGTTACTTTTAGCAAGATGGCTACATGTAGCCACTTCTCTATGTGACCAATTCTAAAGAAGCCAATCGGGCGTCATTTATGGAGGTGTGACTGTACGTGCAAAACACAATATTGATACATTGCCTAAAAACATTAAGGAATGGACGCTAGTGGCGATGCGATCGAAGCCCCAGTGCGCTTGAGGCGAGCGGAGACTGTGCTGCAGCACCGCACAAGTCGCATCGTGCTGGTTCTGGAGCAGTGTATGGACTCACATAACCACCAGGCCGTGCTGCGGACCGCCGAGGCGCTTGGCATCCAGCACGTGTGGCTCATCACTGCCAACGATCAACAACTTAAGACGCACTCGGACAAGAGCAAGAAGAGCAACAAGACAAGTGGCAAAAAGATTACCAAGAATTGTGCCGTGTGGCTTACAGTGCGTGAGTTCTCGAGCATCGCGTCTTGTCTGGAGGCGCTGAGGGAGAACGAACTGACCGTTTGGGCTACTGATCTATCACCGCAAGCCGAACCGCTCGTGGATAGTAACAAGCCCAATGGGCTACCCACCCGACTGGCAGTTGTGATCGGACGCGAGATCGATGGAGTGAGCCCCGAGATGCTGCGAGCGGCGCATCGACGAGTGTATATGCCACTTTTCGGTTTCAGCGAGAGCTTGAACTTGTCGGTGGCAACAGCACTGGTGCTTCAGCGACTGCTGAACTGGTTCCCGGAGATACGCGGTGATCTTGACGAGCAGGAGAAGCAGCAACTTCGAGCGAAATGGCATCCTCAGTTGGTGGGTAACCCGACTCAAGCAGCTCAGGCCGAGCCATGGACGTCAGGTAGTGAGTTAATCCGCCCACTTGACGATTTGCGTCGCGAAAAGCACGAAGCGTGGGTTCCTAAGAGTGTGCGACGACGCGAGCAAACTATGCCCGAGGTGAGAGAGCGCCTGGGCAAGAGGAAGCAGCCATCGGAAGATAGACATGCAGACAACGTGAAGACACAGGAGATCCCTGAATGATAGAGTTTATGAACTTTACCTACTCATGCAGTACAACTACTGATCTCAAGCCGATACCACCATCCGCAACAATTGCTGGGTTTTCTCCTCGTTTTTGGCAATGGCAGCTTTGAGTGTGTTGATCTTGTGGAGCTGCTCCTTAACCTGTTCTTCCACTTCTCTGAGCTGAATCTGCAGAGGCTGCAACGCTTCTTCTGTCCGCTTCTGCTCGTCTGCTAGCGCGTCGCGTTTACGGGCGTATTCCTTGCGCCAGAACTCGAGCTCCTTGGACATGGCATCCAAGTCTTCGTGCACAAACTCGACACTTTTCCCGACGGGGTTGGCGGCTTGGCACAGACGCTGGATGTCTGCACGCAAAGCATTCATCTCGGCTAGAGACGACGCCGCTGCTGCACTTGAACTCTTCATGCGCTCTGGTTTGAAGGATTTATTTCGACGTCCCAGTCGAATTCCCGTCTCCGCTTCATTTGCTGTCGCCGCAGCCGTGTCTTCGCCTTCCTTAGCACGACGGGCTGCTTCTTCGGCATTTTGGTTCTTTAAGATATGACGTACTAGGCGCCCATGAGCGCCGGCATCACCAGGTAGAAGTGCCGAGTGAGGCTGGTTGGATGTGTCATCTCCTGTTGCTGCTTCGTCTTCGCTCTCGGTGTCGTTGTTGTCGCCGTCCTTCATGATACCTGCAACAGGAGCTGCCTTGGCATCAGGCACCATGAGCCTCCCCACCTCGGTAACATTCTCTTTGAGCTTTGGTGGACGACGCCTAGCAGTTGTGGGTCGCGAGGTGCGGCTGGTTCCACTCGTGCCTGGAGCTCCACTCGTGCCCATGCGAGCTCCTCCGTCGTCACCATCGTCATTCTTTACTTCGAAGCGTACATCGTCGTTGTCTCCACCTCCTATCGCCAAGGGCTTCTTGGGTCCGGAGAAGCTGCCTGGCTCGGCTTCTTTCGGTTTCTCCTTGGCCTCCACAGCCTCTGTCCGCTGTTTGCTCTCTGGTGGTGTAGTGGAACGCGACGGTTGCTTGATTTCAGGAGTCCGCTCACGACTTCTAGGCTTCTTCACAATAGAACCAAAGCTGCGAACCGCTGTGTCACCAGCCAGAACACGTTGAACAGCCTCTTTTGAGCTGCCTGCTTTGCATGCGACTGTCAGCAACTGCAGGAACTTGCACGTGGCCTCTGGTTCCAGTCCTGCGACGATCTTGGCAGGTTTAGCTTCCATTTCCACATTGAGATGGCAGCCAACACACAAAATAATCTTGGTTAGATAGTCCATCTTTGGTCCCTTTTCCTTTATGGCACCGGAGTCGAGCTCTTCGCCGGAGAAGAGTCCTTCAGCAAATCCGGTCATACGCGTCACTTCAGAGATAACGTCGTGTAGGAATCGGAATGGAGGCTTCCCCAGGAGCTTCGGAGACATCTTGGGCTTGGTGATCACCTGTTCGACTAGTGTTTTCGTGCGTTCAATGCCGCCATTGCATTTGGCAACGCTCTGCAGCAATACTTCATCGTGGTTAATGTTCTTGCTGGTGCTACTACTACGGCTCGGTGCAGCGTGACTTGTCTTGGGTACGGACTGTTTGCATGGCGCGAGTGGAGCATGTGCTTCCTCTGCACTCCGAGGCGGGGCTGCATCCCCTTCACTGCCTCCTTTGGACTCTGCCTTACTTTCTCGTCGTGACTGAGTTACAAATACAAGTATTGGTGTTTTGTCAATAGCCAGCCAGACCTTTAGCAAAAGGTTTAAAACGCACCTTTTCCTTCTCCTTGGCTTCAGCGGAGCTGCTGCGATCATTCGAGCTTGGAAGCGTTGCAGCGGGTGGGGCTTCCACAGCCAGAGCTGCTGCTGCAGCTCCAGGGGCCAGTTCTCCTTCTGCAGTAAACGAGGAGACCCTGGCGAGAGCGGTCTGTACGGCCTTGTTCCAGTCGAGCGACGTGTCCTTGGCAACCTGCGCAAGGCCCTGCAATAGCAGGTTGGTGTTCTCCGGCTCGAGGCCGGCTACGATCTTAGAGGAGCGCACATCAAAGTCCTTGCTGAGACATTGGCCCACGCACACGATCATCTTATCGAGGAAGGCGGTCTTCTGTGACTTGTCCTTTAAATTGGCTGAGCCTAACTCAAAGTCATTGTACAGTTCCTTGGCGAAGCCCGTGCTCTGTGTCACGGCCGTGAACACGTCATGCAGGAAGCGGAATGGCGGTTTAGCCAGCAGCTTGTCCGCTAGCTTGGGCTTGGCGATCAGTGGCTGTAGCTGGTCCTGCGTGTGCGCGATCAACGCCTCGAGTGAGTCCCCCATCGGGCCTTTGAACTACTACTAGTAATACATGAACTCTTAAAGCGACGCAATCATGAAGGGACACACATTCTAAAACGCATGTGATCCACACCAGAATGATGTGGTTTACGTATTATGCGATATGACGGTCAGATTACGACAGTCAGCGAGTTTCAGTGTCGGAAGAACCCTGTTCGCACTGACGTAACACGATCGTGTCGGACAACCCGAGCGCTTTCCGATGAGCTTACTCCTGTGGATGCTGCTGCTGTTCGTGGGCTTCGTGGCGGCGCTAGCCAGCAGCGCCAAACTGCGAAAAAACGCCTTCATTTGGTTCTCATACGTAACCATCACAGGCTGGTATTACTGCCGTGTGCTGCACAAAAAATACGTGGGCAACAGCGACAACAAGGCTGGTGGCGCATCGCCACCCCCGAGCGCCAGTGGAACTAACAAGAAAGAAATGATCTCCCCATCGCGAGCCGCCGAGGGCCGGCGCGATCCGGACTTGGTCTACTTTGAGTCGCGTGAGGTGGTCGAGCGGCGCCAGCAGCAAGACAGAATCGAGCGCAGCGGAGTGTTCGAACGCTCAAGCCGCATGAGTGATTCAGGGTCGAGTGGCGGCTCAGATGTCGGCGATGCGACTCCCAGTAAGCGTAAGGGAATCCTTCTCCACAGCCGTCGCAAGGTTGCGGCGGAGGAGTCCGTGAGACGCGTGAGCGATGCCAGCTCCGCGGATCTGCTCACCAACTCGGGCGTGTCCGAGGCCAACGACCCCACCACGTCCACACGCAACACACGCAACGGCGCCACTAGAAGAACGTATACTGGGCGGAAGAAGCCTGAGTCTTGGGCGGATTAATTAGCTGGCTAAGGCAAAGTTGCGGACCGAAGCACGAGGGAAGAGATGTAAAACCAAAGAAAAATTGTATGGTCAGTCTGGATTATTTTATCTTCAACTCTTTTGTTCCAATGGCCTATTCCACTGGAATTTCCAGGAGTCCGTTATGGCTATAAATTATCTGCACCATTCCAATCAACACGCTGGTGTAATTTGAGGAGACAGATTTGCGTCAAGAAAAAGCTACGTCAATTTGAACTGATGTGATGTCCCATTTCGAGATTGAGATAATAAATTACGGGCTCAATTTACATGTTTAATTTACATGTAGACAATGCCGCCGCAATACATGTATACGCATAGCTGACCAGCTTGTTTAGATAGCGAGCTTTTAAAGGAGGGCAAACACGTCTAAAATGCTCACTATTAATAGTTGGTTAACTACGATTGAACACATCAAGACCACCTGACTTTTTATTTTTTTGTCCAAGCCTTTTTGGCCGGGATAATAAACTCTTGCTTATTGTGTTTTTGTTGTTGTCGTTTATCACTACCGGTAGGGTGGGTTCGATTCTAAACGCATTTTGTAGCGAATGGTCTAAATTAAACCCAGATTTATGAAATTTAAGAAGTCGACTTAGGCACATAAGGGCTCATAGTATTTGGAATAATTATCCACCCGAAGCAAACAACTTGAATAAAACCCAAACTACCGCGCGGCGCTCGGCTAGTTATAAAAATAATACCGTAGAGTCCACACGAGCAACGATCAGATGGTCTTGGTTGGTCTTCTGTCGATTATTCTGACCTTGTTTGAGGATTTTCGTGCCGTCCGCCTCACTAAAAGAGGCGTGTAAATATCGAATTGGATTTCTGATGGAAAAGCATTTCATACAGGAAGCCATTCCAATAATACAAAAAAAGTAATATTTACATAATATGCCGCACATGTATCGACAGAACATGCCAAACACATGCATTTACTGTTTCAGCACACAGCATATCATTTGTCTTGACTTCTGTATACTTTTGACCTTCTAAGTGTCGCAATAAGACATAATCGACGATTAGAGGTCATAGCAGAAAAGGGACCAGCCGCGCTTCGCTTGGCTGGGCGCCCCCGCGGTTCGCTGCGCTCGCAATATCGAGATAGAATGTTCTGGAAAGTGTAGTGCTCGCTGGTGAGCTCACCTTAGTTGGCACCGCGGCTATGGCATCCACGTCGCCCAGCCCCGTGTGTGTTATCCCAGCGATGGGCGTGCGTTTCTCCTATTTTCTCACATGTATCTACGAAAGGAACCGCAGAGTCATTCAATTGTTTTTGAGTCGAAACATCCCATTTGAGCTTTTATGGTCTTTATCGTAACCCTGAAAAAAAAGCATATGGCTAACACAGTCTGGTCAGGTGCAGTGCAGAGCAGTCGCGATGCACGGCCTGAGGTCTCTGCCGCCTACGGCTCCTACGTCTGTGACATAAGAAAAGAGAAGCGCAAGCGGCAATGCCTGCCCGACGACAAGTGCAGCAACAGGTTCCCGTGCTGGCGATCTTGTCGCTGCTGGCGTCTGCCGCCTTCGCCTCGGACACTAGTGACTTTTGCAGCTCGGTTACCTCCTGCCTCAAGGATGGCAGCACCACGTGTGACACGACCACAGGCGATTGTCCTCCATGCATCTACGCGCTCGACGGCACCTACACATGCTGGGAGAAGGACAATTCGACCAATACCTGCCCCTTCACTGGTGTCCGCTACGACTGCTGTACGTTTGCCCCATTTAGTCGACCGTGATCAATATCTGACTTGTCTTTCTGTTCCAATGCTACAACAGCCGACTCATGGGGTTCCAAACCGTCCAGCAGCACCAATAGTGCGATGTCTTCTTCGACCGACCCGACGGACCCAATCGCTGGCTCCTCCACTGCTTCCACCTCCTCGTCTTCTGAGGCCAGCACCGACACCTCGAGCTCCACCGGTTTGGGCGGACTGAGTTCTAGTCTCATCACGTACGGAGCCATCGGCGTCGGGGCTGTCTTGGTTGTAGCTATCCTTTGACATACTCTGTGCTCGGAGGCGCAAGATGCGACGCCGTCGTGAGGAGAACGTCGCAGCTACAGGTGCCGGCAACTTTTGGTCGCAACCGCGCTATGTCCGGACAAGCGCATGCGTGGCCTTTCGAAGCCCGACGAAGGCTTTCACTGGGCCCGTACAACAACATCTTAGACACCAGCAAAGTCAACTACGCATCCTCCAACATGAATGCTGGCTACAGTGGCCGTCGCAAGGGATCACGCCCAGATCCGATGGATACACAGTCTCACGTGCCCACAGATGAATCTCCGCGTAGCTTCGACGGTATGTTGGCCGATGCGTCGCAGTCGCCGGCGGTCTTAGGTGGAAACACGCGTGGCTCACGCAAAAGCGGAGGACGCAATGTCCAGGCATCCCCCGTTGTCGGAGGCATTGGCGGGTTCTCAAACGTGAGTGAATATGTGCAACAGGACATTTCCTCGCGCTGCACTGCAACACCGAACGTCTTTGGTGAATATCTACGCATGAAGCAGGAGATGCAGTATGATGAAGCCGACCGCAGTACTATGGGCGGGATGAGTGGTGTGAGCTTCAGCGATACCATCAGTGACCTGGATAGCGGCAAGTACTCGTTCCAATCGTCGCAGGGTATTGGCCGACCGCCGCAGCGGCGAACAGACTTAGACGGTCGGTCATCGATGGCCGACTCACTCACCGACTCCATCGCGGACTCGGTCACCGACTCGGAATATGCCGAGCAATTGCGTGCTCGCGGAGAGAGCGACTGCTACAGCGAGATGTCGTACAATGACGAAAAATACTCGTTCAGCAGTCTCGACGGTCTCGATGACAGTCAAGTGCGAGAGGGCAAGCGAGAGGTCGAGATTTAAGCCTTGAAAGCTTTGGGGAAGGGGGGAAATAGTCTCTCCTTAATCTGTGTTCTCCGTTGGTTGTCAGTCTCTCCCTAATTGCGTGACAATGAAACTCAATATTTTTATCAACTTGTCTCGAGTGGTCACGGTTCAACAACGTTGTGCACCAAACAGGAGAGAAGGCCGATAAAGAGAAAAGGAAAACGCTGGACACAAGCTTCTCGAGGATGCAATGTCATTCGTATGGGTTGATAAATCTGTGAAAGCATGCTTGGCGCAGATACAATGGGCATCAATGACGACGCTACCCAGATACAGTACCCAGCTTGTTATACTGTACAACCTTGAGACTGGCAATGGGACGGACATCCATATGTCTTAGCATACAACCGTCGATCCGGTCGGTTAAAACGTCTCAATGGACCTTCTTGGCGGTAGTCCTTGACCCGTCAGCAGTATCTGACTTCATGCTCTGCTGGGCGTCCGAGACATCGTTGGCTTCCATTGAGGTTGAGGCATTTCCCTCACTGCTCGTTGGACGCTCACTCTCCAGCCCGTTGATATCGGATTGGGTCGTTGCCCTCGTCTTCTCCGAGGAGTCGGCAGCTGTGGTGGAAGCCTCGACTTTGGCTCCGAAGCGCAGAATACACTCCTCCGAGATAAAATCCAGCACCTTCTGGTAGATTCGTGAGCGAAACTCGATTCTTTCTTGTCCTTTGAGATAGGACGGCAGCGGGACGACGATGCCGTCGAAGTCTTGCATCACAAACGGGTAGGACACCTGCGGTGGCTGCGGCCCGTTCGGCAGGAACATGACACCACTTCTTGCCGTGGCGAGCACTGGAGCATGCGCTAGTGAAGATGAAGGCATTGCACCATCCACTTCGACTGTAGTCGCAGCAGCGACTTCCATCGACGATGCAGTGGGTGTACGCGGCAGCGTGGTTGGCGCAGCCTCGGCAGCTGTGTCAATCGAGTCCACTTCGTCCGACGCGTCAGCTGAAGGCGAAAATGATTGAAGTTTAAATGACGCCGAGTATGGTGCGAACCGCTCGCTCTTGGCGACCCCAGCGGGAGCTCGACGCTCTCGCTTGTGCAGTCGATTCTTGGCATCAAGCTTGCGCTGGTGCTGGTTCTGCCGGTTGCGATGCTCGTCGCAGAGATTGTGGGCTGTCCCTGATGTCTTGAGTGCGCGCTCATTCATGCACTTGCCAGTCTTGTAAAGGCATTTGCCACGGTAGTCGGGGCGCTCTGAGCATAGAAGCACCGTCGAGGGAGGAGCTGGCGAGGTCGAGGAAGGAGCGTGGGGGGAGGCATTGACGTCCGACATAGCACTGGCTGGTGACAGCAGGAATAGAGAGCAATGCGAGGTGCAAGTTAGAGCTGCTGAAGCTTTACGAAGGGAGGCTCCATGAGAGCACCACCCATGGCAGCGGCATCGACGGAGCAAGTGGCAAAAGAACGGATGGCTTACCACTCGGACTCAGAGTTTTTCGTGGACTCAGAGGATCAGCAGACTCAGTCTTTTCATTTTTTCTTCTTCTTAAGTTCGTATTGCTAGTAGAAAATCGAACCTAAAACCTATCCACAAACAATCTGCTGCCTCTACAATTCGGGAGCACAGATTCTGTGACGGGGTCACACAGCACCTTGCGCTAGAGGAAGTTATCTTCCGAGAGTATACAAACTCTCAGTGAACGGCAGTTCACAGGTCCCCTCTTTAATTAAAGAGAGCGAAGTGACCTAAATAAGGTAGATTGTAAACTGAGTATATTTATA